GCCGGATATTGTGAACTCGAGCGACGTCACTTGGGAATAACAAGAAGCCGGCAAGCGGCTTTACAAATGCTAATGAGAGTAAATGTTTCATTATGCTGCGATTGAAGACAGCTTGCGTTTTACAATTTAGTGGTAGCTACATATATTCCAAAATGAGTATGTAAGAGTTACACTCACGTTTATGTGTCTGATTTTTAAAAAATGAGAAGCCGTAAATGTGCATCAACAGCGAGCTCCATCCAGCGGCATTCGGTTACGGCCCCACGTTTTCGTTTCTATTGGATTAATGCAAATGTAACATAAGTGAAACTATTGACTACTAGTATGATATGATGATATTAGTAAAAACAACGTTATTATAATATGTTCAGTATATTACCATTTCCATCTTATCTTGTCCATAATTTGTAAACATTACTCGTTGGCTACATAGGTTTCGCAATAGTGGCACTGACAGTGCCTAAGTGGGTACTCTCATCAGGTAATGTAAACTGAAGTGTTTGGTGTCGAAAATGTCTACGTTTATATTATCCAAGACTTATTAACACGCAAATTCTATGAGAAGAGGGTACATGTAATGCCATTCACTTAGTGAGATGTAGGTAGATAGCCATAATGCAATGCTTGCCAACCGACTGAGATGTCGATCGGATAAGGTCAGCAAAGGCAAACGATTTGATGCGGTATTTGGGTACACGCACACAAATCCATTTGCGAACTAAACACAATTGTGATTTCTCTTCAAAACCACTCCACGGAGCATTTACAATCTCTATTCTATCCAGAAACTTACGGTTCCTAAGGCAGTGTTCGCTGCGTTGTTTTCCGGCGGGAGAGCCCAGCCCATAGATGGCAGCACTGTTCCACGCCTGAAAGCATACTGTGCCGCAAGACTCCTGTACAGAACTGCGCTGCCGACTCACGCTAATGGCGCACAATGACGCCCGCACAAATGGCCGAGGAGAGAACGAAAGAAGAGGAGAGGGAAAGAAGAGAGAGAGAGAGAGAGAGAGAGAGAGAGAGAGAGAGAGAGAGAGAGAGAGAGAGAGAGAGAGAGAGAGAGAGAGAGAGAGAGAGAGAGAGAGAGAGAGAGAGAGAGAGAGAGAGAGAGAGAGAGAGAGAGAGAGAGAGACAAACAGACAGACAGACAGACAGACAGACAGAGACAGAGACAGAGACAGAGACAGAGACAGAGACAGAGAGGAGAGAAGGAGAGTCGTCCTCTCTCAGAATCCCCGCTCCCGTGTGGCGCTCTGGCCGCGCTGGCGGCAATCGGCGGTGTATGACGGCGCCATCGACCATCTTAATCTGACCGGGGACGGCGGAAGCGGCGCCGAGTGGCCCCGGGGGCATGATCGGCTGGGGCGCCGGGTCAGCCGCCGCCGGTGCCAGGGGCTGATGTATGCGCGGCTCCCGCTGAGCGCGTGTCCCGGACCGGACCGATGGCCGCGGCCGCAGAGGGAGCCGCGTGATGTACACTGCCTGGTTGAGATTGATAGGGCGGCGGAGGAGTGCACGGTGCCACACCTCTGGGATCCCGTGGTTGATTGGTGGGTGATTGCGGGAAACGAATAGCTACATGGGGAGAGGGAGCCAAAGGTCAGTGCCGTCTAGGAATAGCCGCCGTATTCTTAGAAAGTGCATTGGTGTGTTTATGTTTTTCGCCATGTTATTTTATTTAAAATTGCAGTGCAAGTGAACAAAAAATAGCTGGGGGGGGGGGTGGCCAACGGCAGGATACTGTAGATTTTCTTAGAAAAAAATAGATGCACGCAGGAAAGCACAGTACCTAATACTCATGAATGCATATCGCTGTGTGAGCTCATATAGGTATGCAAATTCGGAAAATGTATGGTGCAACAAAACCAGGTGGGAGATCTTAAGCTGATCAGAGTCCCTTTAACACCTGCCCATTTTTATCGTTCTCTGGTGCTTTAATGATGAAGTTTGATTAATTGATTTTCCGAGGCAAGCATTTGACTTTTTCAAAGTTGTGGAATTCCGCGATTACGACGAATGCCGTTTTGTCTGTGCACCATCAAAGTAAGTCTGCCTCTCGTTACCTACATTCTTGGTATTTCTTGCCCCCCAACTGACTTATATAACCACTGCTCGAAAGACATGCAGCAGCCCCGCTCTTCTACCGGGTAGTAGGGCCCAGACCAGTGCGCAGCTCGTTATAAAGAACAAAGCCTTGATTTGACACGCCATTTTGACTCTGTCTGAAGCATATTCAGGAGAATCACCGCAGTTAGGCAGGGGACTGGGGAATGATGTATCTGTAAGCCGAAGCAGAAAATATTTTTCATAATTGCCTTGCGTTTTGGATTGAAATGAAAGAAAAATAATTTTCAAAGTCCTGGAGAAAATCTACAAAAAAAAACGTCAGCTTTGATATATATTTTCTGAATTAATTTCATTGATGTGCTGTCATGTCATCGAAACAACCTTGAACCTTCCACCTTGGCGTTCTTGTTTGCTGTCGGTAAGATGTCATGAATAAGGCTTCAGTTAATAACAATGCCAATTTGCAGTCATTATAAAGCGACGTAGTAACTAGCACGGGATACTGGCGCAGTGTGAAACAATCTCCTCTCGCAGCTTCCGTAACCTAATGTCGCCAACCTGTCCAATCGAATTGCCGTCATACTTATTCGTACATTTTCAGTAGTTACATTATATCACTTATGCATTTTCAGTAGTTACTTATGATTCAACAATGCACCTAGGGCAAATAAAAATAACAAAGAAGTATGATTGTGTGGGTGAAATCGAAATGCAACTTCTGTATACTCGAATGCAGACAAAGTCCGAAAGTATTTCTAAATGTTTGCAGATCAGTCACTCCGATAACAGAGCACTTTGGGAGCCATTAAGTACAACAATAGGACCATCTTCACATCAGCAGTATTGCCGCTTTTAGCGGCCGCTCACATTTAGATTCCACTGAGACGGGGAGAAAAGAACCAGCCTCATCCTTCACCCGTAACGGCAGCGGGGGTGGCGGCGGCGGCGGCGCCTGTACCGTTGACCGCGAACAAACTGTTTATTCAGCCCCCTATCTGACCGCTCGCACTGGCCGTGCGAGAGCTACAATCGATAGTGATGTGCGGTGCGCCTGTGCGGTGTACCACCGGCTGCCCGGCCCGGCCCGGCCCCAATATCGACCCATGACACAGACGTCAACGCGCTGGTGACCCGGCGGCCGACCCGGCCCCGCGCCGGTAGCCGCCCAGGCAGGGGTTTCCGCTCAGTGAGCGCGGGACACCTCCCGCTGCCAGCCCCACGCCGCCGCCGCCACCGCCACCGCCGCCGCCCCGACAGGCCCGCCGTCCGCGCCAGAATTGTGACGGCCCATCAGGCGCTGAATGCTACTCCGCTGACGGCAGGAACGCGCGGCTGAGTGACGCGGGCTCAGCCGAGATGAGCTGGGAGAACAAAAATGGAGACAGGGCGGAAAGGAATGGCACAGAATGGCTGGAGACGCTGGTTTGAATAATGACAAGGGCAAACTAAATGTGACCGTTATATTTAATAAAGGGATGGCAGATATGTCTGTTGAAACCGGCTGTCACTGCTGGAATTTCGAGATATGTGCTGCACCTTTGCGAGGATCATTGTTTGCTCAGTAAAATCCCGATCACATAATTACAACTTGTGCCACGACCATCCACTTGTGATGAAGTTTCACCTGTTCGTAATACAGTTATCCTGCCGGTTTCGGTTCAATGGCTTAGCAATTAAAGCCTCGGGCCGTTCCAAACAGATCCAGGACACGCCAATGCTCTCCGGTCAGATAAATCGGCCATGGGACCTGCACTGACGGCACGTCGGTATTTCGCCGCCTATCGCTCCATCACGCATCAGTTGGCCGCGCTGAAGTCTCTTTGGAGTCGGTCTCGGCGAGATTGTGCTGCCGGACGATAACGTTCTCTGAGACGGAGCCTCGCCCCAGTGAACAATGACCAGCCGCGAGGCCTGACGATCGGACTCAATGCCACCGATTGACAGGATCATTGTGCCGCTGCACGGCTGCTGGAAGGAAAGATTCAGCAGATAGCGCGGATGCATGTTGAATACGATCATCTTTACTAGCATGGCTCGCTCATTTTGTGTGTTTGTTTTGTGCTACAGCTCAGTTCTTTCAAAGATCACGGCGCACGCATTCTCGCATTCTCATGCATTCTCAAGGCGCATTGAAATATTATTTGGAATTCTTTAAAGGTTAAATATAAATAACATTTATTTTTCTGCTTTCTTATATTTTATTCGTTAGCTACGCAGTCTTAAGCAGTTCATTGAAATATCTGCTACGTACGTGGTCTGTATATTTCAAAGACAGCAAAGTCATTCTTTAACTGCTTAGACTGGAGCTTAGTAGAACTACAATGTCACCGCACGACACGCAGTAGCCATATCATATCACGTGATGACCTCAGCAATAAAACGGAACGCTTTAGCGACAGTCGGGTAATAAAACATTCAGCCTGTCCTCGGAGGGCTTAGGTCTGACGGCTGCGTTGCGTCACCATTGAAGCAACACGTTACGAGCTCGCCGGCCTATTAGGACATGTCAGCGGACCGGTGGTCGGGCACGCAATGGTGACGAACTGGCACGCGAAGGGCAGTCCACTCGATATCCAGCACAAGCCGAGCAGTCAGACTCGAATCCTGACTAGATCTGGGACGTCATAGATTTCTTAATCGTAGGCGACAACAGTAAAACGCTTTGAGAAGCTTACAACTTCGGTATATTTCTTCGAACGAGAAGTTATGACTAAAGTCAAGCTCACTCTGCTTCGCGTCCTTGAGGCTGCAGACTGCAGGGAGCATACTTAAAAACAATGCAAACATTGCGGACTGTCAGATATCTGTCACACAGATGAACGAATGTCATAGGGAAAGCGATGTCGGAAATATTTTATGCACGCTTCAAATTAGCCCCTCGCCCGTCATCGCAAAAAACAGCATACAAAGCTAACAACATTTTCTTTTTGCAGGCAATAGCGCGTGCAGCGACGAAGGAACATCTGCTGCGGAGGCGGGCCGGAAGCGCGCCGGAAGGAGCTCGCCATGGCCGCGAGTCCCGTGTCCGCCATCGCCGTCATCCGCCGACGTCCGCTTCCGGTAACAAATCACCCCAGGGGGCATTCGACGTCATCAGCGACGAGTTCGCCGCCGTGTCCGCGCCGAGTTCGTCACTGATGACGGGACGCCGCGGTACGCACCTTGTGCATGCTGGACACACGACCGCGGCGGCGGCGCGGCGTGCGTTCAGAACAACACGTCACCTTAGCGACAACGGCTGTCGACGAGGGGCGCCAGAGATGAGACTTTACGGATGCGTGCGTTTTGTGCGCTGACCGAAGTGAAAACGCGTGTCGGTGAGACGGGCCAAGAGGGAACAGCGGTGCAGAGCCGGCAGAGTGTCGCAAACAGTTAGCGTCCTTTGAAGCTTACCGAGCGCGCGGGTGAGCGTTGTTTGTCGAGGGCGAGAGAGCAACTGTTGCTAACGACGCTAGAAGGGATTGCAAAGAACTCGATAGCATTTCCAACGCGGCTGTTAAATGTCATAGATATAGCATGCTTCGTGAAGGTTATGATCTATTTAGGGTTATTTATTCTGCTAATAGTTATGAATCACCCTGCCACTTAATTTAACATGTCAGGTCTTTTGATCTTGCTTAACTACGTCACTATATCTTGGTACTTAAAATTAACCTATCTCCAGTTCCCAGCAAATCCATTTACCTTCCTATCCTCTTGAAACTTTCAGTCATCACCACCACATCATCTCAGCTCCCAGCTGTGACGGCGGTGAGCGGCTCTCAGCAGTCCACGTCGGCGTCTCGTTGGCCACATGCCGTCCCTCCATTGACGCCCCTCAGCTACACCGTCCTCTGGCATTGTGTCGCACCTCCACCGTCTGGTGAGTCTGGCCGGCGGCCCAGAGGGTCCGTCAGTCACCAAAGGAGACGGTCCATCACCGGATCGACCCCATCGCTCCTCCTCGTCACTCACTCTGCCAATTCACCCTGTCCTCCTCCGACTCTCTGTCTCCGGACTTGTTTTTTATCTTACAAGTGGGATTTTTTTGCTGTCATGTCGACCCTTGTTCGATCATCATTTGCAACTCTCTCTTACCGTTTTATCATTTATGCATTTCTGCTCGGATGTAATCTCCCTTTCTTTCCTTTTTCTCTCCATCCTCGTCTCTCTGTCTCTCATTTTCTCTGTCTCTCTGTCTCTGTCTCTGTCGCTCTCTCTCATTCTCTCTCTCTCTCTCTCTCTCTCCTCTCTCTCTCTCTCTCTCTCTCTCTCTCTCTCTCTCTCTCTCTCTCTCTCTCTCTCTCTCTCATCTCTCCCGCTCTCCCTCGCCTCTCTCTCCCCCATCCCTCTCTCCCGGCAGAGAGCGCTGACTCTGCCCGTACCGGCTGCGCCCAATCTCAGCACATCATCGCACCGTTTTGTCTTCTGACTAACGCTCATTGTATGAGGTCGTACGTCAGTGGTCGCCGCGGCTGAGGCGGCAAAACAGCCTCCCAGGCGGGCGGATCCCACGTTCGTTCGCGCGCGGCCCGTTCCGCACGCTGCAGCGGGCGCACTTCCGGCAGCCTTTCGGTGACCGGAAGTGCCCCTGGCGCCCGGGATGAGGACCTGATGGACGGAACGGGAAGAGAATGCAGAAAGGGAGGGGCGGGGTTCTCTTGTCTCGGAAAGGCCCGGGAATGGTGTGGTGGCCCTGATGTGCTCTACTCTTCTCTCCACGTGTCACAGCGGTGGATGGCGACCTTGGTCCACTTTTGGCCGACCCATGATGTGCTGCCTTTCAGGCTTCATGGCACACGCTCTAATGGACAAAGCAGGCTGAGGCTTATAGCTGCAGGCTGCAAGCTGAGCTGAGGCTATATGCTCAAAGGGCGAGCATTGAGCTTTGTGCGGCGGCATATTACGGAGAACTTGGCTCGGCTGGGACGCATATCAGTGCCGCACTGACTGGGCAAAGTTTGCTCACCAGTGGCCGCACGCTCAGTTTCAGCCGAGAAGTCAATTTCAGCTCGCCTTTCTCGAACTGAGCAAACCGTGTATGTTCTAGCTTCTGAGTTCCAAGAAGCGGCCAGCGTAGCGGTATGGCTCGTCTAGTGAATCCGTGAAATACTTTGTGTCATGTCGCCTCACATTAGACGACACTGGAAGTCACTAGGAAGGCATAGGCCAGACATATATCCGGTACTCCGTGCTGCGCAGTCGAGTGATAACTCGAGTGGCAATGAAAATCAGTGGCAGTAATTATTAGTATCCTGCTGTCTGGCCTGCATTGGCTCTATCTCAAGCACATGAACTGTTATGAAACATCTGGCGAAGATGTTGTGGTTACGATGTTGTGTATGTTTATTCCTTCCAAACAGTTTGATGATTGCATCCCAAACAATCGCATTCTGACTTCAAAAATTCGCTATTCATTAATTCCGCGGCTGAAATTTAGTCTTGGCGCATGAACCTTCAGTACAACCGAGACGGTACTGCAATCTCTGAAAGCAGCGTTCGATGACCATTGATCAGCCACTCCATCCATGCCACGCTAAGAGCCACAGAGGTACGGGGTCCGCCGCGGTGGACGCGCCGGCTCTCGCTCGAACGGCCTGTTGCGCGCACGCCGCCGGTCCGGTCTGCTGTTTATTTATGGCGAATAAAGGTCAGCTCGTTCACAGACAAAGCTTGGGCGCGCTCCAGCACTCCCAGAAAAGAAGCAAGTGTCCGCAACCGGCCAAAGAACCGCACGATAAAAACTGAGGATGAAGTCTGTTTGTCATGCCACACGTAACATCCAGTAAGATAGGTGAGAAGGCGCGTTCATTCAAATTTCGAATTATCTCGTAAACATGGGGTGTTGCGTACATTTGCCGGTGTGCTGCAGGGGTGCTTTATTGTGACTAAACGGCTACGATAAATCTATGAAAGAAATGAACGAACTTCCCAAGGCACCGCCTGGCGTTCTGCTTTGTAAAGATGCGTTATTAAGGAGATGACGTAATCCAGGGGGATCGATTTTTACGACGTACCACGTGCCAAACTCTCATTTAGGTCAGGCCACGTGTCGAAAATGTGCAGTTTGCACGCATGCCGAGTTTAATAATCTCCCAAGAGTCAACCTCGCCCAGCGGCTACGACCTTTCATTTGCAATAAATCACGCTAGAGCTGCGGCCAAGTGCATTCTGATTGAAAATAGGCAGCGCTGAAATACTACACAGGGTACTTTGGACTTCAATCTATTGCTATTGAGCGGTGAGATCCGGCGAAGCTTCCGGTGGCAACAAGATGATAGTGACCGAAACGCTGTCGAACAGACTAGACATTACCAAAGACCGACTCAAAGACCTCACTCTTCTAAAAAATAGAAAGCTACTGCCGCTCATCAGTCTGATTTGTAAAAAAGACATACTTTTTGCCCAGTTTTGAGCAAAACCCAACATTCAGATACAAGTCATCAGCGTGAAATGGAACTGAAATCTCAATTGAGAAAATATTATGAAGTTGAAGAACAGCTTTGAAAAGTCTCAAAGATGAGCGTATGAATGAAATATGAGCTACCCAGTGGCATGAAGAAACACTAAAAATAGTGCCACCTCCACGCAGTGCGCTCTGAGACATCATTATACCTCTCATCCCTCTGCACAGCACTCTAAGCATCTTTCACCCACAGCATAAATCCTATGTCACTTTAGGTCGAAATCTCCCATCATCAACCAAAGCCAGCGATGACGTCACCTTCCCTCTGTGTACGTCTGACGTCAGTGGATTCCTGAACTGTGATTGGTGGCCGGCAGATAATGGGCCCCTGATGACACGCGGGGCGGTCTGTGGACGTGCCAAGGACGTGAGGGCGGGCGGGGAGCTTGGCGGGAGACGGGGATTTGGCGGGAGACGCGGATTTGGCGGGAAACGGGAGCTGGCGGGAGAGGGGATTCCTCCGAAGGCGAGAATGGAGCTGAAATGCGAGTTATGTCGAATGGCGGCAGTGCATAGTCGTTTGCTCTGTGGTTCGCGGTATTGTGCTCAATATTGGCGAGATGTCTATCGGAGTATAACACGACGGATGTGTTTCTGGGAGAGCGGTGCCGTCACTGTAGCCGGGCACCTCTCCACTGGCTGTGTGTGTATGTGTGTGTGCGAGTGGCCGCCGATGTATATTTTCTCTGTCGCGGTGGCTGTTCTGATCGCTCGCCGCACACCGGGGGAGTGATGTGCTGCCGGCGCCACGTGCCAACACGGGCACGCCACGTGCTGTCACCGGGCACCGCACGTGGCCCGGCACCGGGAGTGTCGAGATGACGGCCGAGAGGGGTGCGAGGCGCGCGAGTGGACACGTGACCGTCTGACAGTCAGCTGACCGGTCACAGGTCACAGGTCACAGGTCACAGGTCACTGGAGGACCAGCTGAGCCACGTGCGGTCCACTGTCCCGTGTCGCGCACGGGCGGCACACGTGGCTCGTGCCATCGGCACGTGGCACCGGCGCCGGCGGCCGCCAGCGTCACATCTGAGCCCTGGAGTGGAGCTCGGCGGCCGCCCTCCCCACTCTCTCCGCTCTCCCACTCTCTCTGCTCCCCCATGGGTGTTTTTGAGATGTCGTGATGCGCTGTTGTAAGCAGTGTGCGATATGGTCGATGTAGCATTTATAGATGTGAATAATCGTCTTGATTTCGAGACGAGCTCGAGCTCTGTTATCGCTGTTAGCTTCGGCTCCTGAGATTATCTCATATATGTAGCGAGAGCTCTGGAGGTGTCCGGTGCAGCATCTAACTGATGCCCGAAACAAAAAATCAAAAGATGTGCTCTGTTCTTTCCTAGCACTCATCGCTGCTTCACATTGTTGATTTTGTGTTTGTGTGTTCTGCGCTGCCTTCGTCGTGACTATGATTCTTACATTTCTTGTTGGTAATTTTCTCTCGACATTCGAACTGATTTCTTCTTCTTTCCTGTTTTTACCGCGTCCTATCTTTATCAATGTCTCTTTAATACGGAATTTATTTTACTGAGCGCTCATAAAAAACGTGTATTAATTGGCTTCATATTAAGTATTTTAGCTATGTTTGCGAAGCCGTTAGTTTTCTAGGGTTAACACTGATTCATGCCATTCGAGTCATCTGTTGACTGGCGAGCTTGAATAAAATTGGCATTGTTCGCATTCATGATAAGCTGTTATTCTCGCAGATCGTATTACGTTGTATGTTTTCAGAATCGTGTCATCACTAATTTGCAGAGCTGGGCAAGTGCGTTCCTTTAGTGCGTTCCTGCGTTCTTCCGTACGTACGCACCGCCCTTTTTAGGAACGCAAGAACGCAGGAACGCAAAGTTTTCAAAGGAACGCAAGTAAGAGGAACGCACCACCCGAAATTTTGAAGCGTTCCTGCGTTCTTGCGGAACCACCCGAAAAATCATATTGCTGCCAATTACCTCTGTGTCAAATGTTTGAATCTCGAGTACGTGTGTTTGCCGGTAGAGACGCCACTTGTCGGTCGAATCGAGGAAGGCTTGTTTAGATTTAGTGGTGATATTCACTATTCGATTCGGTTTCAGGCATTTAGTGTGTAAAGTAAATATGATAACTTTTACTTAGATACATCTTTCAACTTAACTATTGTTTTTAAGCAGGTCGTATTTTTGTTGAAAACCCTACGGATGATATAGGTAAAACGTATTTCAGATATTCGATTCGGAAAAGAGATGTCGAGTTGCTTTTCGGCCCCGCGTCGCCATTCTGGGTATTCTGTGATCGATTCGCCCCGTGTTTGGTTGGGCCCGCGCCGCGTGGTTCGGCGGTATTTCTTTGTCCACGACTTCGGTTGTGAAGAACACGCCTGTAGTGTTGGACTGGCGCGATTTGCCTACTTTGTCCGCTACAGTGTTGCGTTGCACTGATTTTGGTATGATTTGCTGCTTGGTTGAGCCAGAATACAATACGGGTTAATAGTTTGGGACGCAGGAACGCAGGAACGCTAACGCACCGAGCGAAAAAAAATTGAGGAACGCTATTCCAGGAACGCACTAACCGCGGCCGGAGGAACGCAGGAACGCTAACGCACTACCGAAAATCGAGGAACGCGCCCAGCTCTGCTAATTTGTAGGCTAGTGTCCTTAAATGTAATAAAGCCGGGCGGGACAAAAACGTGTTTTCGCTGCATGAAAAATTGGGTCTACATACACGTGTAGATATTGAGCACATATGT